AAATCAACATTTCGATGGTGAACAAATTATTTTTCAACTTATTGTTGCCTTTTTTAATTTTTTCCATGTAAAAAAAACAAGTAAAAATTTCACTATATCTTCTAAAGTGTAAGTTTTATTAAGATCATAAATAATATTCAACGTTAAACTGGTACACTGTGTACCAGTTTAACGTTGAATATTATTTATGATTTTAACTTTATACACAAGTGCCAAAATACTATAATTAAGTGTACGTTTTATATTTTATAAATAGTTAATTTTGTTGTAACTGAAGCATTTCTATTGACACGCATTGATCAAGAAATAATTGTTTTATTCAACTACTTTTGCTCTGGTCTTCACTTCTGTTTAGATGTTATGCATTTTAATGTAAATCTGGGTTAAATAGCCAATCATGAACCTGTAGGAAATCATGTCAGGCGAACACTTTGATAAAAAAAATCAACATTTAAGAAAAAAATTATTTGGTCATTTTTAGATTAAAAATTAATAGTGAATTTAATACTGTAATTGACAGATTTATATAATATTTTCAAGAAAGTATATCGCAAAATGTTTTTCATTTTCTGACAGTTCAACTTCAGATTCTTTCTAGTGAAGATATTTTGTTATTATGATGATCTCGACGTGCATTGGAGAAATTTTTTAAATTAAGTTATAAATGGACGTTGTTATTCAAAATTGGCCTAACCCACAAATCATAAATTTGAGTAGATTACCAAAATATTTTGTTATCTTTTAAGAAATTGGTTAGGAATACCAAATGTGTGTTCTGACTTCAATCAATGGGGACCACTGTTATGTGTTAGGATATAACGTTTTCACAACAGTAAACTGTTCATTATTATTCAAAAAAAGGACAATTAGTGGCTTGGGTCATTTTTGCTTAACGTAGATTTCCAGTTTCTGTTATTTTTTAAAAAATGTCAAGAAAGATAATGATAAAAAAAAATTGTAAATTGAATACATTCTTGTAGACTTATTCACACAAAACAACTGCTGAAACAAGTATTTTTGTTCTAGCCATTAGTTCTTATTGTTGTTTCACTCGAGGTAAATGGAGGTAAGGTTAGTCCTTCTCAGTACAGAAGTCCAGCTCTCCATCAAAGCCATCTACATAATTAGTGATGTTCACATCTTGAAGGTTCATATTTATGCAAGTTATTGTAATTCAAGCACTAGCTGTTGGTTGCTACATGAGTATAGTGACATCTGTACTATCACTCTTTACCTCATGAATGTGTAGCAACTAATGTTAAATATTTACAATGAGAAGTGTTATTTACCATGCAGAAGGCAAAACTATTTTGCGCATTTTGTTTTATGACCTTACATCTTGCTGGAATGTGTCATGCGATTTTTTTTCAGTCGCCAATCAGTATTGGTTTGTAGACCAAAAACAATGGTTAGTCGTGTTAGGGTTAAAGATGTTCCAGGGTGTAATAATAATTTTCAAAGGATAAAAAGGTGCTATGCACACTTTGGTGTCACATGACACCCTTTTACACCAGAAAAGTGAACAAATGAGATGAGAAACGTCTATCTACATGTACATGTAATTACAGAACATTCAATACCTTACCGTTATCATTTTGGAAAAGTTATTCTGCAAAAATGATTTAACCCACATAGATCATTTTTACGTAACTGAAACTCTAATCCACATAGATCATTTTTACGTAACTGAAACTCTAACCCACTTTGATCATTTTTTACGTAACTGAAACTCTAACCCACATAGATCATTTTTAGTAACTGAAATTTTTGGTAGCACGAGTGTGAGTTGGAATTTTTCCAACCTGTAGGAACAGTCTAAAGGGATTTGGTTTAGATAATTTTTCACAAGAAAGACTACCGTTTATTTAGTACAGAAAATATGAAATACTATTTTTTGGATTTTGTGGGTTAGGTCACTTTTGCATGTTTTAACAATGTCCAAATGTGGTATGTAGTATCGACATTGTAGTATCGACATCTGATAGATGTTTTAACAATGTCCAAATGTGGTATGTAGTATCGACATGTCATTTTATACCACATTTGGACATTGTTAAAACATCTATCAGAAGTTAGAGATAACATCCAATATTCCTAGTAACTTCTCACATTTTTATACTCATTCATAAGGTTAACGTAATTTTATTCCATATTTTTTTGTAAACCTTCACTTGCTTTTAGTTTTGAAAAGTTTATTAGTGGTTGAATTGTGTTTGTTAACATAATAAGGGAACAACTTTAAGAAGTGTATAAGATAGATAATAATGACTAGTATAATTTCTCTATTCCAGATGGATCTGCTGTCTCTGTTTCCTTTGGATTTGCTGTATCTTGTATATGGTTTTAATGCTTTGTTTCGGTTTCCCAGAATGTTGAAGGTGATGTAAAAATGAACAGTTTTTTAGTATAAGGTTAAAAAATAACTGTTGTTTGTATGTATGTGTCTTAAAATTTTAATGTTTATATTAAATGGAGCAATTTTTCTGACGTGGTTGATTTTATAATATTCGTAAAACTTTTCTTTAATAAAATATTATTATTATTATTTTTTAATATTTATTAATCTATTTGTAACAAAAATTCTGGTTTATATGACTTTCCTCTTTGTAATTTATAAATTCATTAGCAGTGTGTCTCTGTAATTAAATAACCCCCTGAACTGGATGATTAGATGTTTTATTATAATGGATTCTTTATTATTTCTGATTGGTTAAAATAGTCGAAAACTCATATATAACTTATTTTAACCCTACAGTATTACCAATAGGCTTTATAGATTTAAAATATGTCTATTGGATGCCCATTAAATACCTCAAGCCACAGAATCAACTTATTAGAGCATTACATGATTTGTGTAAGCAATCTGCATTGTGCATGATTTGTGTACGTAATCTGCATCGTGCATGATTTGTGTACGCAATCTGCATTATGGCTTTCTGTCAACAATACAGAATATTTTTTGTATTTTAATTTTCCTTTAGTTTTCAGTGATACAAGAGCAAATAATGGTTAATGTATCTGACAATTTCTAAGGTACATGTATAACTGAATTGAAACTCATCACCAAATATGTTTGCCCTTTCTCTGTTGGGGGCATTATAATATGATGATCAATCCCACTGTTGTTTGGCAAAGATTAGTCCAAGAGTTGGCAGTGTTGACTAGATGCATTCTCTCTTGTCTATCATTTCAAAAGTAGGGACGGCTAGTGCAGATAACCATTGACTAGCTTTGTAGAAAATTCAACAAATAAAACATGCACAAATGAGTGTGACAGAAGAATAAGAAATGTTTGACGATGTAGAAATAATACATAATAGATGGGGCTAAAATTAATACATATTCCAAAAAAAAATGGGAAAATACCTTAGAAAATATATATATTTTTTTTTTATCAGCCAGTAGCTAAAATATAAAGATGTATCGTATAAGAATATAAATTTGTTTTTTTTAATTCATACAGGTTCAGACTTTCTGGGAATTTTTCAACAGAATGGATGCTGTGGCTAAATCTCCATATGTTGTCAGGTAGATAGGTAATCATTTTGGTGTACCCTAATGAAATTATAATTTTTTGTTTTAACCTTGTAATGAATTAGAAGTAAACTAAATGATATTTAAAGTTTCTTTCAGTATGTCATACAAATGTTTGCTATACTTATGTGGAATATTTCGTTTTGTTTAGTTGCTACTGAATATCCAAAATACTGTTGAATGTTTTGCTTGTCTTTGCTCTAGAATCTTACGAACATTAATCTACATGATGTACCTCATCCACCTGAATGCCTGTGGCTATTATGCCATGTCTGTGTGGGAGGGGATTGGTTCCAATGATTGGGTGTTTCAAGGAGAAGGAAATGCGTATGTAATCAACAGTGTGTGAAAAAATTAATTTCTTTAAATGAAACTTTATGGTATTTAAATTGTTTTAGAATAGTGTAATGCATGATTTTTTTTTCCTTACTTTAAAATTATGTGAGAATGATAGCTTTGTGGAGTGTAAGGTGATGTTGAAACACTGTTTGATGCATCAGAAAAACATAAAATATTTAGCATGTTGCTTTAAAAACTTGCAAGTTTTACAGTGAGAGAATGCTTAAAGAAAGAAACTGTATGTGAAAAGAGTTTATAAAGACTAAACTCTAGAATAAATAAACAGATCTTAGAGTGCAATTATAAGAGTGAAGACTGTCTATTCTGTTCTAGGGTATTAATAATTTATGTGGGCTTTTCCAAAATGTACATTTATTGTCGGGGGCATCATTAGGAAAGAACAAAGGAAGTAATTGCGTGAGGCCTAAGTTGATAGGGTTTCATCACAAAAAATAATAACATGCTGTACTAAGGGCCCTGGAATAGGACTTTGCATGGGGCTCCACTAATGCTGCCCCTGTTTTGTGTTTACTGTTTTAAAGATATATTCCAGCTTTTCAGAAAAAAAATACTTGCATTGACATTGCTTAAAAGTCTGGGAAACTCTTATATTTAATAATTATTAAACCATATACGTTTAACTTACTGTGACACCAGTAAAAAATAGTCTTAGAATGTATTGAACTTATTAAGGGTATTATCAACTACTAAAGAAATATTATTTCTTGTCTCCAGGTATATTCGTTGTATGTATTTTGCCACCAAAACGGCAACATCTATTGGAAAAAATCCAAAACCTAAGAATGAATATGAATACATCTTCATGACATTCAGTTGGCTTACTGGTGTTTTTATATTTGCTTTCTTGATTGGGCAGGTAAAATTTTTATATTTTATAGAATTTGTAAAGTTTAGTTTTCTGATTGGTCAGGCAAAGTAAGTTTTTTCTTGCAGTTGTTTTATTTAGGTAGACAGCTATTTATGATGTATCATTCTCACTATACGGGACAGTTTATTATGAAAGAATGTTTTGAGTTGATTCAATAAAAATCCATGATACGTGAACATGATCTTGTGCTATAAAACCATTTTCTTAATTGAATATGAAATATTTGTATTGATATTGTTGCAAAACTGAGAAAAATATTGTTCATTTGAGGTACTTTTGGAAGGGTTGTGTGAAAAATATTGTTTATTTGAGGCATTATTGGAAGGGTTGTGTGAAAAATATTGTTTATTTGAGGCATTATTGGAAGGGAACTTGTGAAAAATATTGTTTATTTGAGGCATTATTGGAAGGGAACTTGGGAAAAATATTGTTTATTTGAGACATTATTGGAAGGGAACTTGTGAAAAATATTGTTTATTTGAGGCATTATTGGAAGGGAACTTGTGAAAAATATTGTTTATTTGAGGCATTATTGGAAGGGAACTTGTGAAAAATATTTTACATTTAAGATATTATTCTAAGGGGTGTGGGAAAAGTCTGAAATTGTTCAATGAGATCAGTAGATTTGGACTTCTAGTTTTAAAATAAGTCTAACGTATTTCACTAAGCCTTCTTTTTTGGCGGAGGGATTTGATTATGTAAAAAAAAAAAAAAAAAAGAAAGGAAATATTTTTCTATGGTTGCAGATTCGGGATATTGTTGCCACAGCAACACAGAACACCACTCAGTATCATCAGGTGATGGACCAAATGGTTCGATACATGAGGCACCTAAACCTACCCGAGAATCTACAATACAGAGTTAGACTGTGGTTAAATCACACGTGGGAACAACAGAAAACACTACGTAAGCTAGTCTGTAATATCTTTAGCCAAAAAATATGGGTATGGCTTTAACTGTTTATTTATTCATCTCTTACTCCCCCTATCTTTTTCACAGTTTTAAAATTCTGAGTTTTTGGTGGGTAACCGTAAGGAAAATGGATTTTGTTTTATATATTTGTTTGCTCTTTCAACTGATAGGAATATTTTCTATGTTAATTTTTTTTTTCATTAGTACATTTGAGGTCTTTAATAAATCCTAAATGTGAAGTATTGGTTAAAATTAGCATCGCTTAGTCCAAGAATCACTATTAATTTTCCAAGATGTTTAAATTACACAAAGATTTAGAATAACTTTTCCAAGAACTCTTTTTGCAAATTTGATCAGTTTTGATATTTCTTGCAAGCGTATATAAAGTTAAAATAGATTTTATGCTTTTGGTACTTTATTAATATAGGTATTTGCTGAAGACAAATTTAAGGTCAGTAAAAACTAAAAAATATCTAACCTCTTTTCAGGCATTAAGTCTTTTGATTGTTTCTCTTTAAGGTCATAAAATTATATCTCTCATCAGAAACAAACTGGTTATCAAGTCTGGTTTACAACATAAACTATCATTTTCATCTCTATGATAAAACAAACGTTACGAGTTCGTTGTTTTCTAACTTTATCTATGTAAAGAAAGGTATGTATGTATGCATATTAGCAGGACAGGTACGTATGTGTGTATGCATATTAGCAGGACAGGGTATGTATGTATGCATATTAGCAGGACAGGTATGTATGTATGCATATTAGCAGGACAGGTATGTATGTGTATGCATATTAGCAGGACAGGTATGTATGTATGTATGCATATTAGCAGGACAGGTATGTATGTATGTATATTAGCAGGACAGGTATGTATGTATGCATATTAGCAGGACAGGTATGTGTGTATGCATATTAGCAGGACAGATATGTATGTATGCATATTAGCAGGACAGATATGCTTGTGTGTGTGTACAGAATTGAATGAAATTTTGTCCATTTCAGATGAAAGCAAAATTTTGGATTCCTTACCCATGAAGATGAAAACAGATGTGGCTATCAATGTCCATTACAACACTTTAGTTAAGGTTCAGCTTTTTAAGGTAATTTAGGTTTTTTGCAAAACCATTTTGAGGAAATATATATTTTTTGGTGATATACTTTCATACTTTCAATAGTTACTACAATATCATACAAGGATACAAAAGGATTTTAATTTTTTGTACTAATGCTAAGTTATTTTATCCTAACATGTCCCAGATAACAGTGTCAATTGCTAGTGCAAAAGAAATAGTTAAATCTGATTATTAAAAGACCCCCTAACATACAGTATGATTTTGTTACTCTCAGCTTTCAGTCTGTTTCTCCTACAGATCAGTTGTCCACCCAGTGTAGGTAAAACCCATTTAAATAGATCACATAGACATCATCTATGGATTAATCAAACCCTTTGTTCTTTAAACAGTGGTGTAGTAACTGCCCTCGCATACCCTGAAGTGTGGGGGAGCCCATGCCAGATAGAGGCCCATAACACTATAATAAATTGGATATGAAGGAGGCCCCATGGGTTATTCAAACCCTTTGTTCTTCAATACTTTTAAAAACCTGTATTTTCCATATATAACATTCGTAAAATATTTTAGATTTCTGTGTGTGTGTAATGGAAATACTTGTGGAACTGCATAAAGGAGTCACAAATGGGTAATAGCAACTAGATGATGAATGTATTAATGATCCAAGATTTTAACACGGAAAATACAAAAGTGAATAATTTGTCAGTTGCACTAGGAATCTGTGTAAAAGATCTTTGCTTTACACAGTATCAAACATTTTTATCATTCATTCAAGTTGTTTCGTTGCCTTTTGACTTTCTCAGATTTTTAAATAAACTTATACAACCTTAATAATGTTCATACAGGATATTTGTGCAGGCCAAGCAATGGTTGTGGGTATTCTGTTGTTATCATTATTGTTTGCTTAGGATATTTGTCTTACTGGAAGATGAATTGTGGGGAAATGGCATGACAGATCAGAATCTACCTGTACCTATCAGCAGTCAGAGTGTTATCACTTTAGTATAGCTCAGCAACATTATTGCTTGAGATGCAGCCCCTAACTTGTACTGACACCTCATCAAGCTTCACTGTAGATATTTTATATGGACTACGTTACAGTTATCCTCTTTACCACAGAAAAAAAACCATCATTGTTTGTTGAAAATTCAAACTTGGATTCAACTGTAAAGAGTGCCTGTCTCCAGCCTTGCTTATTCTGGTTTGTGGCGCATGGCCCATTTCAACATCTAGGTTTGGTTATCTCGACAGCAGCGGTTTTCGAGCAGCTACGCATCCACTGAGACCACTTCGTGCCAATGAGAACCTAACTATTCTTGAGGTAACATTCAAACCTGTATTTACAGCATGGTTGTTGGCAAGATCTTTACTCAACATACCATAAGATATTTACCATCACTTTTGGAATGTTGGTTTTCTACCTTGACCATTTCTGTTATTAATAGTGCCCGTTTCATTCTGTACTCTTCAAGGTTTTGTATACAGCTACTGAAACATGGAATCTTGCCACATTGTTTTATGTGGAATATCCTTGATCAGCAGAAACATTAGATTCCTACATACTTATCAAGTAGTATTTCAAACCTGGGTCATACTGTTACTACTGGGCATAGTATTACTGACTATACTGTTATAGGCTTTATACTGGTGTGGCATGGTTTCATTAGTTGGATGATATTAAATCACTGTATAAATTATCCACAGGTAACTGTGCTGTGGTGCACTTAATTTTCACACAATAAAGAGTTGACATTCCCATATAATTTGCCTTTTATACCCTTTTTCTTATCTGTTTCCATTATTATTTCAATATTGTAAATATATATATTTACTTATTTTTGATGTTGTTGGTTTTAGAATGTTTTTAGGGGGCTGGGGATTTTAAAGTTTTTAATTTTTCAATGTTGAACTGTATTTAGTTACAACTAATTGATTTTCATGGTTCCATTTCTGATCAACCAAAAAAATAAGAGATCTAAGTTATCCAATATGTTTGTGGTTCCTAAAGATTTGTACATGACAGATATGCAAATTGTATTTTTTCTGGAGAAAATAATTCTACAGGAATATATCAGTAAAGCCTAGGACTTGGAAACCTTGTAATTAAACCACAATTAAGGAAATCTTGTATGTTTTTCGAAAGGTTGATTTTCCTTCATCAGGAAGAAGTCTGAGAACAAAGGTTGATTGTTCTTCATGAGAAGTAATTTTGAAGAAACAAACCTACAAGTTTCTTTAATTGTGATTAAAACCTGAAAGATTTTGTACAGAGTAAAATTAGGATAATTTTATCTTAATTAACAACTTAAAGACTGTTTGATGTGCTTGAAGCTTTAGGGGAGAACATTATTATGGTATGTATCATGCTGTAAAACAAACCACAGAAATAAAGTAACATTTTCTTTGTTTATTAACAGGATGAACTTCATATTTCAGAAATCTGACCAACATTAATATAAGAAATATTATGCAAATTAAGGTTAAGTTCAGTAAAAGTTTTGATTTTCTATTTAAAACTAAGTAATGGGTATCAATGAGAAATTTAACAATTGATTATAAGAACCAATCCAAGCATCTCTATTAAATAAAAATATTTTACAAATGATGCTATTGTTTGTTAGAAACATCATTGATGATTTGCTTATGTCTTTCACTCTAGTCCTAAAGTTACCCATGTTATGAACTTTGAACGTGTTGAATTACAGTTCATTTTTGTAATTCTGTCTGTGATTTTTATAAGATGTTTTCCAACAGAACTGTGATAAAGCTCTCCTGAGAGACCTAGTTTTGAAATTACGACCAGTTTTATTTCTTCCAGGAGACAACATTTGTAGAAAGGTGAGAAGCTATAATGTAACTTCATAATTAAAGCCCTATATATATATATATATTAGAATATATGTTATCCTTGACAATGTTTCTTGGTGCTATTGGAAACTAAAAGACCATTGAAAAACTAGAAAAGATGAGATTAATTAAATAATGTCATAGAAGCATGTCTCTAGGTTAACTAACACCCAGAGTAATGAGAACAGTTAAAAGTTCAACTAAAATCCAGTATTAATGAGGATGTCTGAAGTTGTAGTAATAAAATAGAACTAAATCCCTGTAGTAATGAGAACAAATGAAATAGAACTAAATCCCTGTAGTAATAAAATAGAACTAAATCCCTGTAGTAATGAGAACAAATGAAATAGAACTAAATCCCTGTAGTAATAAAATAGAACTAAATCCCTGTAGTAATGAGAACAAATGAGATAGAACTAAATCCCTGTAGTAATAAATTAGAACTAAATCCTTTTAGTAATGAGAACAAATGAAATAGAGATAAATCCCTGTAGTAATAAAATAGAACTAAATCCCTTTAGTAATGAGAATAAATGAAATAGATATAAATCCCTGTAGTAATGAGAACAAATGAAATAGAGATAAATCCCTGTAGTAATGAGAACAAATGAAACAGAACTAAATCCCTGTAGTAATAAAATAGAACTAAATCCCTGTAGTAATGAGTACAAATGAAATAGAACTAAATCTGTAGTAATAAAATAGAACTAAATCCCTTTAGTAATGAGAACAAATGAAATAGAACTAAATCCCTTTAGTAATGAGAACAAATGAAATAGAGATAAATCCCTTTAGTAATGAGAACAAATGAAATAGAGATAAATCCCTGTAGTAATGAGAACAAATGAAATAAATAAATCCCTGTAGTGATGAAGATGGCTAAATCAGAAGTAAAACCCAGTAGTAATATGAAACAGAACTAAAACAGTAGATAAGAGGATGGCTATCAGATAATTCCAACACATCGATACGATGATGACTGACACAGAACTAAGGTGTAATAGATATGAGTCTGGAGATATAAACGTGTAATAGGTATGAGTTTGGTACTATAAATGTGTAATAGATATGAGTCTGGTACTATAAACGTGTAATAGATATGAGTCTGGAGATATAAACGTGTAATAGGTATGAGTCTGGTACTATAAATGTGTAATAGATATGAGTCTGGTACTATAAACGTGTAATAGGTATGAGTTTGGAGATATAAACGTGTAATAGGTATGAGTCTGGTACTATAAACGTGTAATAGATATGAGTCTGGAGATATAAACGTGTAATAGGTATGAGTTTGGTACTATAAACATGTAATTAATATGAGTCCTTTCACTGTACACTGATAAATTCACTACAGCTGGCATTAGGGTAGAGAAATTAACAGATAAAACATAAAGGTTGACTAAAAAGAATCTGATATTCATTTAGGAGGTTCTAAGGGCTAATGCAAAGAAAATGGGAAAACTGTAAGGTTAAAACAATTATTTTTTAGTCTTAGCATGAAAATCGCCTTTCACCCAGACTCTTAAGTTACTGTGTTTTTCTGTGTGAATTAGGTTATTTATATCTGTGATATAGGTTTTTGCATCATTGGGTTATGAAAAATATATTTTTCCTTCACAGCTTTTTAATTTTCAATTTGTCTTACGAAATACATTTTTCTGACTTGTTCAGATGTTACCAAACAATTGTATATAAACAGTATGTTGTTTATCAGGGAGAACTAGGAAAAGAAATGTACATTGTGAACAAGGGGCTAGTACAGGTGATGGGAGGAGAGGAAGGAGACGTGGTTTTGGCTACTTTATCGGAGGGCAGCGTTTTCGGTGAAATCAGGCAAGATTCTAAAACCAAGTTTAATTTTCCTTAACTCTTATACCTAATTAAGAATACTGAGTAATATAAATATTTTTTTAAGCTAATATATGCAGCCTAGCTATAATTAAATAGACACCCTTGAAAAAAAAAACTTACTATTTCCATGATGTCACATACAAGTTAACATATAAATACAGGTATAGAAAGACCACAGAATATACTAAAATAAAAGGATCCAAGGAATTAACCATGTTTTCATGAGGTTGCATAATTGGATGATAGGAGGGCAAAGTCGGCAAGAAATTGCAGGTCACTTGCAATACCATTGTCCACAGTTTGTGTTTAGTTCAAAGCCACATTGGGCTATCTGCTGTGGGCACAGTAGGGAATCAAACACCAGATTTTAGCAATGTAAATATGTAGACTTACTTCTATCCCATTGGGGTACTTGTTAATAGGGTGATAATGTAGTTCCAGTCACAACAAGAGTTTCTGCATTACATGGACACCCAAAACCAAGAGAACCAACTCTTTATACTGTCTGGAGAATGATCCACATCAAACACCCAGTACTGTTGCAGGACAGGTGCAAGTGTACCATCAGAAGTTAGCTTCATATCATGGACTACAGTGGAAGAGTGGATAGACAAAAGCCACTCTGGGCAACATCGTATGTCCACAGCAGTGTTACACATCAGAAGTTAGCTTCGTATCATGGACTACAGTGGAAGAGTGGATAGACAAAAGCCACTCTGGGCAACATCGTATGTCCACAGCAGTGTTACACATCAGAAGTTAGCTTCGTATCATGGACTACAGTGGAAGAGTGGATAGACAAAAGCCACTCTGGGCAACATCCTATGTCCACAGCAGTGTTACACATCAGAAGTTATCTTTGTATCATGGACTACAGTGGAAGAGTGGATAGACAAAAGCCACTCTGGACAACATCGTATGTCCACAGCAGTGTTACACATCAGAAGTTATCTTTGTATCATGGACTACAGTGGAAGAGTGGCTAGACAAAAGCCACTCTGGGCAACATCGTATGTCCACAGCAGTGTTACACATCAGAAGTTATCTTCATATCATGGACTACAATGGAAGAGTGGATAGACAAAAGCCACTCTGGGCAACATCGTATGTCTACAGCAGTGTTACACATCAGAAGTTATCTTCATATCATGGACTACAATGGAAGAGTGGATAGACAAAAGCCACTCTGGGCAACATCGTATGTCCACAGCAGTGAGAATCTCGTGCCCTGTCACACATCCCTACTTTTGGACACTAATTATTTCCAAATAGCCGAGATTTGCACAATAGTAGGTGCACGTAGCTGATTTATCAACAGTCCTCCCAAAAACATTCACTGAACCATCTGCAAGCAACACTAAAATACACCAACATTTCTGTTGTAGTGTACGTTGCAGAATGGTACGAATGTCGGAGCATTACCACTTTCCCATGGCTAGGCCAGCTGCAAGATATGAAACCTATTGAGCATGTTTGGTCCAATATTCTTCATTTCCTGCGAAAGCATCCCAAACAATTAATTTCCAGGGACACCCTCATCCAAGTTCTTAACTAGGAATAGGGGGCAATCCCATAGTCCCAGATTTCAGATCTTGTAACCAATGTGTTCCTACCTTAGATATTGCACTGGGCAGACCTACTATTAGTAATTATGAGCCCTTTGTTTCACGTTTGCTTATTTGATAAAATGGGAATCTGTTTACTTATTAACAGACTGTGTATATATCATATCTTACAGCTAGCGTTGGTAGAGAAAAAATCCTGAGTTGTTCTTAACTACTATCCATTCATAAGCTTTAAAAGTTTATTGAATATATATCTTTTTCAATTATTTTCTTGTAATTTACAGAACATATCAGAGTTCTGCTGCTCTCTAATGATGTAGCTTTAAAAAGACTACTCTTTTGTTCCAGTTTATCATAAAGATAATTTCAGTCCTGATGAAGCTGTTGCTTTATCTGTCAAAAACTTCAGTCTGCACTGTGAACTTTAAACTCTAATTATTCTTCAAACACACTTCAGCAATGGATCTTTGTAGTGAAACATATTTCTTGTCTATTTTTATACAAGTAATGGGTCTTTCTCAAGTACTTATAAACATTTCTGGCATGATCAATGTCATTATAAATTTATGAATGTTATAAACTTTTGATAGTCATTATCAAGCAGGCGGTAGCACTACCTTTGTCGAAATGTCATTTAAAATATTTCTTCAATAGGTCAAACTTTACAATACTATACAGTGTTATATTTTATAACATTATCTATGTAATGACCGAGTCACAAGCTCTGGGAATGTCTGTAAATATCATAGCAAAAAGTTTGAATTTCTTGTTCTTCTTCTTTCTTTTGCTTCATTCTTATCACATGATAACTCGAAAACCAAAACAATGGTGTCAACCAATTTCACTGAGGTGATGTAGTTTCAAACGGAGTATCCGCTTTTATAAGTATTGTTAATAACTAGTAGTAATTTAAAAAAATCATAATTCTAGTGTAAACGATGTTATCATTACCCCTTGAAGATAGCTTTCTTACAGAAATTTGGTGTTCCTTTAAAAAGCTTAAGGACAGGGTGAAACAGAAATTACCAAGCACTAATAGATGAACAATAAATATTACAGTTGAAACCTCATTGTATTTAGAACTTGTGATAGCTATATGTTAATTCTTGCCTGTGCTATTATGTAGGGATGCTGCAAATGCCATCCCTACTATCTTGTTTGCATTCCTTTTGGAGGATTGATATGAACGATCCCCACATTTACTTCCTTTTTTGAAATATTTATTAAGGTAATAACCAAGCATTTATATATACATTTAATGATTCTACTGTGTTGTAGTCTTTTAGGTATTCCAGGATGTAATCGGAGAACCGCAGATGTGCGCTCTAAGGGCTTTTCCAATTTGTTTGTTCTGGGAAAAGCTGATTTGTGGGATGCTTTAGAACACTATCCAGATGCCCAAGCTATACTGAAGAAGAAGGCCCAGTAAGACCTAAAATCTATTTCTGTTTTTAAAGCTTCAATTTATTTTAAAATATTATAACATCTGTTAATAACATATGCCACATTGCGTGTATGGCCATGATAAACTGTGAAATAATTCATCCAAAAGTTCTTCTTACAGGACACTAATTAAACAGAATGAAGACAGAGAGAAACTGGCCAGTGGCAGCCGTAAAAAGATAGAAGCAGAAACAATTATCAGGGATCCCTCTCGTACACCCACACCTCGTCTCCTGAAAACTGTTCTGGAGGTAAGACATCTAATACCTCCACTTAATTGTCTCTTTATATTTCAGGCCTTTGATAATAGAGGGCAAACAATACAAACTGCAATGTACAACAACACATTTATGCCATATTTCATCCCTCTGTCAAATGATCGTTATCTCCAGGCTTATATCCTATATTCATCTAACTCTAGAGTGGTTTTAAAAGGACAGTCCTTCTACGTTTCTTGTCTACTTTAGAATAAAAAACAGTATATAAAACAAATACCTATTTATGGCAAACAACAGTGGATGTTAAGTACTAAAATATAAAATAGTGACAAAAACCCACCAAAAATACCAAACTCCTTTAGATGCTGATGATTTCCAGGAGGCTTTAAATTAATGAAGTTCAAGTACAAAACATTATTCCTTTACATGTTTTATTTAATAAATGCTAGAACATTTGTATAAACATAAGATTTGGCACACTGGTACTTTTGGAATGTTGCACTGTGCCTTTGATTACAGAGTAGCAGAGAAAGTAGGCTTAACTCTATGTTTATGGGAGTGTACCCAAGTATCCTCTCACATAATCAACAAAACAGCACGAGTATAAAAAAAACAAACACTTTTTCGAACTTGTAGGTTTCAAATTTCATTTGCATAACCCCTAGAACTTCCAAAGTGAGTATCAAAAGCACTTTTGAATTTAAATTAAATGTGTATATATATATTTCACTTTCTCTATGATATTACTAACTGCAGCTATTATTGTGAACTTGTAACATATAGACTATAGTATGTTACACTGAAATGTTTAAAATGAAAACATAGGATAAATGTACGTACCTTTAAATATTTTGTGAAATAATTTTAAGACATATTCATCGTTTTTTGCATGTCTTTACATTTTCACATATAAGTTATTTTAATAATTTGTTATCTTTTCCTGTCCTTTAGCACTGTTATTTATTGCAACACACGTCAATGGACATCCCCAGCCAACAATATTACCGTCTAGTGGGCAGAGAAACTTTAGCCCTTGCAAACTGAGCATGCATTGGCTTATATAAAAATAAAATTATTAAACCTTTCAAATATGCACCTTAAAACATAAAAAAACACATAATTAAGTAAAATATAAAAGTAAAACCTAAATATAATGCAACTGTCCGTCTACCAGTCCGTATTTCAATGTGAGAAATAATGCTAAGGTGGTGAGGACAAAGCAGCAACAATGCTGAGAGCATTTTGACTAATTTTTTGCACCAATTTTAAAATAACAATTAAGAGAACTACTTAAAGAAAGCACTCTTTCCATTTGTTATAAACATCTAGCTCGATTAAGTATAACTGACTGAGAAAACGCAACTCTATGTGTAGAAAGAGGGCGTGGTATATGTCAAGAGTTCAGAGATTTGTTTCTCCTTTCTACAAATGTGTCCTAAGGAACTTGAAAGATAAATATGTAAACAGAGCAATTAATGTAGATTCTTTCTATATATGGCAGGTTAGCGTGAGTCAAGAAGTGTTCAAACTACAAAGACACAAAAATTTTCATTTTGTGAACTTGCAGATCATGAGAGAATAAAACAAAACTTTAAGAATTTTTTTCAAGGTTTCTTTTGAAATAAAAGAATTAAAACTTTGAACTATAATTTAATTTTGATGCTAATTTCATTAACAAACATTCATCATAAAATAGTGTAATTAAATTTTAAATGTAACTAAGTAAAATCTTGTGACGTGCGCAAAAAAGGGTCACCATAAGAAAGGGGTTAACTGAATCACCACTGTGTATGGAGATATATCAAGAAATATCAGCTCGTTTCTTATTTTGATAAATATTTTTATTAGAATGAAAGAAATCATCATAGAAAAAATTAATTCATGATGTTTTCTGAAATTCTTATTACAAAGCCAATGAAACTATTTGAAGAACAGTTTATTTTTCTTTCAGATGTGGGCTATATAAAAGTTAAATAGTTACACAACACAAAGAAATATTTCTTTATTGATTGAATTTGCACAAATCTACATGAGGGCTATCTATACTAGTTGTCTTTAATTTTGAATTGTTAAGCTAGATGGAATGCAGCTATTCAACCCCACCCAATGCTAACTCTTGTCTGACTGAATAGTAAAATGTGACCATCACTCTTATAACATAAAGGGTTAAATAGCATTTTGTTTTCTTTTCTGTAACAAGACAAGAACCAAAGAACCTCAATCCTTTATTTTTAGGCTTATCAAGACAAGTAAAGAAAAGACTGTCAATAATTTATTCCAGGTGTTAAAGTCATTGCCAGTCATCACTGTCGCGTCAAAACTGGGTATAACCAATAGACAAGCTTTACAAATTTACAGATTGGGGGTTTTGACACCAAAAAAATTGGGTCCCGTGACTTGCAAGGTTTCAATAATGTGACAAACGTACCATTTGTAATTGGAAGATTCGTACGTGGTTTTGACAGAATGAGGAGCGACACGTTCCTGGGACATTTCCACATAAATCATGAAAAAAGACTTGCTTGATTTTGATATGAGAGTGATAACATTCTGACTTACCACAACTAGTTTCACCTGTCTTTAACTCTTAGGTGTCTAATATTGTAAAGCCTTGTTTTTAGTAAAAAAAGGTCTGGTCTCAAATCGTCTCTTCACCGGCCAAAGAATAAGTGAAATATAAAGGTAGTTTTTCATACAAGTTGTTTTTGTTGTGCTTGTAAGTTTGTATTTAACAACAGTACTATTACAGACTCCTATTTTTTATTACTGATTCATCGTAGTTTTGAAACAGGTTTTTTGGACACATCTTCAGGGGCTCGTCCACAGACGGCACATCAAAATCTAGAATTTAGAATGCTATGATAAACTGAAGCATCAAAGATCCTATTAAATCTTGTTTCGTACTTTCTCGTCATAATAAAGAATAATATTTTGATTTGTAAAATTGTGTTCAATCCTTTTTCCATGGTTGCTTGTAACGTAACTTTAAAACGTCTTATGAATAAGAAAAATTCTCAGTGAAGTCTAAATAAGATCCGTTTCAGAAAGAAATTTATACCATTTATAACATCTTGGCGATATTTGTTTGATGATTTGTACTTTGCTTTTAATTAATTAATTAATGTAATTAGTTTCTCTCCAATGAATATCTGTTTCTATTGGTTTTTAATATTTATTTAAATAATGGAATTTAAAAAAAATTATGTGATTATTTATGAAATTGATCTTAGTACAACAGAAGTAAAGAGGAAATGAAAAAAAAAAATTCTGGGCAAAAAAAAATAGAAATAAAAGAATAAAATTTATATATATATATGGTGGCATGAAAAAAATACACTTCTTGATGGGTGTTATGGATAATACAATAGTCTCACAGTAAGTGTTGGTTACTTACTCATAACAATTCCTGTTGTACTTCTATCCAGGTGGTCCATCCAAACTCCATGTGTGCTCAGCTGTTTAATAAGAAGAGGTCTTCTGCCCCAGTACTAATCGGTGACAGAAGTCAAAACAATTTACTCCCCTCTCCCCGGCTTCGGGCAAGCAGCGTGAGTGGAGTTGGTTATTTATCCCTGAACACAAAACAGGATGGATTTCTCAACTTGAAGATGCCATCATTATCCCAGAAAGATGATAAAGTATCTCTAGAAAACTTTCTGAACAAGACATCGGAGGATATTGCACCCAAAGCAATTAAGGAACTGTTACATAGAGTACCTACACTTCCTCACAAACCATCTACTCAATCAGAAGTGATAAGAAACTTAGAAACTGAAGAGAAGGTGATATGGGAAAGACTGTGTTCCCACGAAGATCTAATAAAATCATCAGCAGCATCATTGGATGAATTACCTATGATGGGAAAACCACCAACAGGTTCTGGTCTCGAACTCCAGCTTCCTTACAAACCAGCAGAAGCAAACTCATGTTTGAAAACTGAAGAAAAGTTGGCGAGGGAAGAGATGTGTTCCCATGGTAACTTAATAACATCCCCAGTCACACCAGTAGATGAACTCGTATTGATGGGAAAACCACCAACAGGTTCTGGTCTCAAACTCCAGCTTCCTTACAAACCAGCAGATCAGTCAGAAGCAAACTCATGTTTGAAAACTGAAGAAAAGTTGGCGAGGGAAGAGATGTGTTCCCATGGTAACTTAATAACATCCCCAGTAGATGAGCCACTTAATAATGGGTGTAATAGTTCTAATGCCAGCTCAGCTTCTGAGCAGTACAACATAGAAGAGGAAGATTTTTTGTCTTTCTCCGAGTACCATAAGTACAAACAGCTTCCTCAGCTACAACAATCTGGATTTTGTTCCACTGGATATTTCTTTGAGTCAGAGTTCAAGTGATGAAACTGTGTGTTAAGCTGTGTTGAACTTCGGGAAAAGTATTTGTCTGTTATGTGTTTATGCTAGTCAGTAGATTCTGTCGTTAAACACACAAATCTGTATGTTAGTACGAGGAGGTCATATTTCATTTAAAAACAAATTATCAGAAAACTTTAAATGTGGGAGGTCACAATTTCTCAGGATGTACACAAAAGCCCTTGCATATGAAATATTGTTAGATAATTTTTAAAAAATATGTTTAAAGCTCAAAAATTAATTACATGTAGCCATTATCATTTAAGTAAAAATCTCAATTTGAAAAAATAGGTAAGTGTGTCGCGGTAAGGTCATCATCCTCCCCCTCAACTGCGTTAGCATACACAATATACAAAGAGTTGATATAAAGTGAAACTAACCCTATGTATATGAATCTAAGAACTGTAAATAATAGAATAAAACATATACAAGGAAAGGACAGTTTGATTACAGGTTTACTTGGCTGGAAACTACAGGGTTCTAAAATAACTACCAAATTATTGTGGCCAAGTTATCCTATACATCTCTCTGTTCTTCTGTGGTAGTTCAAACACTGTATACAGTTTAAATAGATACATACTTTTTTAACACTTAGTCAGAGAAGCATATCAAATGAATATGGTCTGTTCATGCAGGTAGCTCCACCTGTTATCAGCAAATATAAGTAATGATGCTGGTTTTGGAAGATCTGATGTACTGCGAGTGTTTTTTTTTTCGATATAAAAATTCATACGTAACATTTTCCAACAGTAAATTTTGTAGAATATCGTGTGTTCATAATTCAAATTTGGAGCGTGTTTATTTTGTACTCTAGAACTAAGAATGAAATATTGTCATAAGTAAATTAAGATGTTTTCTGTTCGGTTTACTTAACTACAGACAAACTATTTTTTAATGATTGATGTAGTCAACAAAGTGTTGTTAATTTGTTTGTAAACTCTACTTACTTCACTTATATAAGACTTTGACATGTGTTAAACAACAGAACTGTTATTTTCATCTCGAAATAACACCATGATATATTAAATGTTGTCATGAGTGAGTGTTAGGAAGTACAGTAAATTATAATGTAAAATATTAGTCACAGGAATATGTAGTTGTGTTTTGTTTAAAGAACAGTTTAACGTGGAAAGATATGTGATAATCAGAAAAGTTGCAGTTCTGAATTGGTAAAGGTAAGATTTAGTGTAAAAAAAAGTTTTTATTATAAAAATGAGTCTAAAATTATTTTGAGTATTAATGGCAAAATATACAGATTCATGTTAGGCTCATTTAAAGAAGTTTAATATATAAAGACTCTCTGGCCCAAAGGTTAATTGCCTATTGATGTTCAACATGGCTGAACGACTTCGTTTTTTTTTTTTATTGTAGTTACATATTTTAAAACCTATATGTCACTAAGAACATAATGACATTCTTCATTTTTGAAAAGGTGTGTGGATTAGAATAAAAATTATGTTCTTTTTAAAACTACTTCGAATAAAGCTTTCAAAATTAAAAGAGAAACCAGTAAAAGTATTTTTTTGCAATAACGGTCAATTTCCAATAATTTACATTTGTTTCTAATTTTAGTGTATGATAAGGGAGATTCTGTCTTTACTTGTTCTTTTACAGTAAATTTAATAGATTCACATTGTTAAGATAATCCAATGTGGAACTGCTTTTTAAAGATTATGACAACATATCTTGTAAATCATAGGTTTGTTCTCTCCTAGTTGTAAGGCACTCCAAAATCTTTGGTAATCTGTGATCTCTCCTAGTTGTAAGGCACTCCATTACTTTTTTTTAATATACTCTGCTCATTTCAAATGTTTAACACGTTTTAGAATAAATATACTTTTTTTTTGTTTGTACAAATATCGGACAAATTTCAATCTTTTGACAGAAGTGGGAAGTCTTTCAATTTTCTGAGAAATAAATCATTGTATATAAAACTACAACCCAGCTGAACATGATTCAATATGTTTCACTTTTAAAAACTGAAAATGCGAGTCTTTTATTACGAACTTTTAGGCATTGTGTAAACAGTTTATTACACAAATTGTAATCTGATGTGTGTGTTCTACTATCGTATAGAACTTTTGCAAGAAATAAACTCAAAATACCCAATGAAAGTTTAGCATCATGATAGTCACAATAAAAAGAAAAGACTATAGTGTAAAAGTACTAGCTTCAAAAAAATTGGAGATTTTTAAATAGAAAAGTAGAAATATATGTTGAGGAATTTTAACCAAATTAAAAAATATGTAATCAACAAATTCTGAACAACATTAGTATCAATAAAGTGCTGAAGAAAGAGAGAGGGGAAATTGATTCTTATTATAAATTTTTATTTCCTTTATTACATTAACTTTTGAAGTTACTGTACACTACTGTGAGACAAGTTTAACTGTACAAAAACAAAAAGCCTTAATTTACTTTACGCTTCCTGCTGCTTCCGATTTTCTTGCTCCAATGTGATTGGTTCTCCAGGCAACCATGAAGTATTCTATGATAAAATGAAGTTGATATATCAGATTAAACTGCATATAAAATGTAGCTAATTTAATGTTTTTACATAATTTTTCACAAGAAAAAAACAAGGTTTTATTCAGTACCAGTAACCGAAAACGTCTATATATCTGCTTATGGTATAACTCTTCAATTTTGAAGCTAAGAAGAAATTCTAGTGTTTTTATATATGATGCCAGAAGGTAAAAACAATAAGGGTTTTGCGAATGTGTTTAATAAAAAGTACTAATTAAACACATAACATTCTAGTCTTGGAAACTTGGATGTTATCTACTACTCTCATAAAACCAAACTGTCCGATATGGATTTTATGTTGCTTAGCAACAAAAGCATAGCCTGAAATGAAATGTCTAGACAGCGAAACTGGAAAGATATTTGTTGATTTTTTAATTTAACATCTCCATTGATTAAAAATGTTTGTCAAATACGCATTTTTAAAAAATTAGGATTTGTTAAAAAGTAGACTTTAAAAATTATATTTTGGCCAATCAGATGAGTTTGTTGTTGTTGTTGTTGTTTAGATTGTAGTTAGCTATGTTTTATGTGATAACTAGCTTTGCCTGACCTGTCAAAAACATAATAAGTTGGAGCTTTGTAAAAAAAAACAAAACCTGGGGCTTCCACCTTTTCCTTATTATTTAAATTATACAAAATAAGTTCTAACATTTGGTCATAGAATAACTATACAAGTTTATTTATTGATATAATTAAGCAAAGTTTAGCCCTAACTAAACTACAGTAAAAAGCATACAAGTTACAGTGGTAATTTATCTCGTTTATTGAATAAAGGCCTAAGACAGTTGGACAGTTTCAGTGTCTGAAATTAGAATTCATTTGAAATTAAAAGTTCTGATACATCAGCTTAATACCTGACATTCGTTTATTTCCTGTTAAGTTAGTTAACTGGAAATATAATAGGACATGGTTTAGGCCTATTATCCTGTACGTAAAAGATGTTACAATAAAGATACTAATTTCGCTTCAAATGTTTAGTGAATCTCTGTTAGTAATGTTATACAACAACTACAGTCACTGAAACATTTATATAATTGAGTTGAAGACTAAGTAACACATAAAATAACCTAAATTTCATCCCTTAAAGAGAACAATGAAGGTCCTTTATTTAGGAGCTGTTTTTTTGTTGAATTTCATGCAAAGCCACTTAAGGACTATCTGCACTAGTCATCACTAATTTTCAAAAGATAGACCAGAGGGAAAACTGCTAGTTTTGAAACGTTTTTGGCTTTTATCTAATGTTATTGAATTAGAAATAAATCTTAATCTTACCAGTTTCTTTGCTCTGTCAGCTAACAGGTCAAATGCAAAGGAGTTCAACTGTAAAAAAAATCGAATATTAAACTCTTAACATTTTTTACAATTTAAAAATCACATACTACGAAACTACCTTTGTGAATCAAGGAATATGTAAGCATGGTAATATATAAATGAAAATTGTTCAAAACTATTACCTTCATTAGTAAAAAGAATAATAATAACAGGTTAACTTCCTTTATTTCTCTTTCAAAATATCCTATACAACAACAGGAAAGTTCTTTATTTTTTAACTATATGTGATAGCCTATAAAAATATAACTACATATACAAAATGGCCACTAACTTGTAAACAATACACACTTCTACCACATTAATGTTTTGCATATAACAGAATAAAACAATTTTCCTCTAACGACTATTTTTACTATGCAAATCTGTAACATTACTTTTAATGTATTATGTTAGGATTTCTCATAAATGCTTAAATAATTCCCAAAACCCTAGATTAGTAGAATATTCTAAACACATACGGTGTAGTTACAATTAATGATTTATTCTGTAAATCATTAGTGATTGAAGGAAAAACAAAACTGTATTTTAGTTTCCAAAACTAGAACAAAAACAAAACTTACTAGCAACTGTGATGGCAAGGCTACCCCCTGAAATCTATACAAGATTCCTTGTTCCGTTGCTAAGGGATGAGCCTAGAGAAGTTAGATAAAGAAAAAAAACATCTTTATGGAAGTAGAAGTGAGGATAACCAATATTTTCATCACGCAAAACTTTTGACACAATGATAAATTAAAGATATTTAATCACTTTTAAAATTTCTGTCTACAGGGTGAAACAAAAGTAATGTGTTTTATTCAAGAAATTTGTATTTTAATTATGATGATGGTAACGATTCGTTCTATTTAACATCTTTTAGTTTCAATTTTTCTGGAAACTATCAAAACTAAATGTTATTTTTGAAAGTTAGTAAAAAGAACTGGAAAACGGACGCACTTACAGCTGTTACTTGAACCCTCCCAAGTTGACTGGTATTTGAAATCATAGGCCCTCCACTTATATCAATGTGGTCTTGTACTCGGTACACTGTCACAGAGTTATCTACCGATGACCGTGAAGCAATTGTTGGAATCTGTTCAGTTTTATACCTAAAAGAATTTTAAATATTAGAAAATCTGTAAAAAAATAATTTTAGTACCTACTGTCCCACAAAGTCACTACCTGACCTTAATAATCAGTCATTCCAACAAAATTTTAAATTTAGTTATATATATAAAAAAAACTTATCCATGATTTAGTATTAAACACAGTTTTTTCACTAATTACTGTCAGTTGTTACATGCCATATTTACAGCTACACTAAAATTTGTATGCAAAGAAGTCTCACAAAAACATACCCAACCATTTGAGAAGGAAACTTTGACCTGCACATCGAAGATTTACTGTGAATGTTAGCAACACGGCAAAATTATTACAAACCTGTTGTCTTCGAACATTTTCAAGGCCACTGATTGGTCTACTTTAAGCCATTCAAATTTGAAGTTCTCCATTCTCAGTTTCCTCATCATTAAAGACAATGTGCTTAGCTCATCCTGGTAAAGAAAACAACAACCACGATAAATAAGCACTACACAACCAGGTGCAAAATGATAAACACATACTACCCATAAATTTAATCATTTTTTTCCCTCACTCCTAGTGTGTTTTCACTTAAAACAATTAGTCCATTAATGTACTCATTATATTTAATATTTTGCTAGCTCAGGCACAGAAATTACCGTATATAGGTTTTTTTGATAATTAGTACTTTCGTAGTTTTTACTACAGATTTTCTTAGAAATCACAAAGTACAATAGTGTATTATAGTTCTTTGACAAATTATATGAAAACAAAATACAAATGCACACAAAGAATATATGTGTATATATATATATAAATACACACTTTTTCTGCATTCTAAAATATTTTTCTTTTATGAATAAAGTAGGGTCTGAAGTATTCAACCAACTTATAGACCTCTTTTATTTTTCTAATCTTGGCCGTACCAACTATTTGTTGCACGAGTTTTGGTGATACAAAAAAATTCATTGTCTGACCTGTTTAAGAACCCAGTTGCCGAGCTTCAAGTCTACATCGTATACAAAACTACCGGACCGTACTGCATGAATAAAATAAATAAAAAAGTGTTAAAACTTCTTTTGTTGTTCAGTAACTAATGGCTTGTCATATAAAACTGTATACCATATTTAATGAAGATAACTCTTCTTTAATAAACACTTCTTATTGAAAGTCTAAAAAAATCCATTAAATGTGTTTGTTAGCATCATTTTCAAAATCAACTGTGAATAATATAATTATTTCTACTCATATTTAACAATTTGTTCTAAGAAAGAAGTTTAAAACGTTCATATATATATATAAACAAAAAAACAATACTGGGTCCATATACGAATTTTTCCACAACTGCTGTACTCGTGAGGTTCACTGTTAAATCCTGTTCGCAGGATTTTTGTAAAATAATTACAATACTTAACAATCATGATTAAATAATCTTTAATGTATATAATTTATAACCTTGCTTATATAAGTATCCATTTGATTACCAAAAATATAAACAATAAAGTCAGTTAAATTTAACTAATGAGGTTCCACCATCATTTTTTAAAAATCAAGAAAATTACAAGGCTTTAATGACTATAAAGATAGGAAATCAAACAAAATTAGTTAAATGTTTATTTCTTTTTTTTCACTTTCAGACTACTGACCTATAGCAAGAAGACATTAATATAATGAGATTTACGTATCAAACTGAAAATTAAATTCGATTTCACTACTAGATTGAAGTCTCGTCAGCAAAATGAACGACAAATGATTTAGAAACAGAGATGCAAGTGAAAAAAAAAACATCTGTAACTAATGATAATAAAAGTAAATTACCAGTATAATATATGATCAAAGCAGCCTTAAACTAGTATCACTAACTAGTGGATTTTCCTTGCTGGAGAGGAAATAGTTTTCCTCACTCACGAATAAAGAGTTATTCGCGACAGGTCATTTGACAGATAACTCGTATGACTGAAGAACACGTATTTTCTGAATAAGTTCAGCACCACTAGCCATGATAGATATTTTAATTAACACCTTTTACTTCCATCCAGAACAAAATTAAATTTAAGTAACTCTCATTTGATAATTATCCAAAAATGCTCTTTACCAATAGGTTTGGGCCAACTGTGAAGTTCAACATAAAACTCATCTTTAAGTGATTTTTCCAACACAAGTCCAAGTAAAAAACTGCAACTTCTCCAAAATGCCTAGATGAAAAAAATGTTAAAAAGTTATACTGTAATATTGTTCAGTACAAGACTTGAAACTAAATATATATACAAGAAATGACCTTTAAATAAGATTAAGGAACTGACTGATTTCTTTTTTTAATGGTACCTTATTCACTTGAAAAGGATCTTCAATTTTGAAATGTAAGAAACGAAGAGTACAGTCTTCCTCTAAAGGTCTGTGCATGTCCCATAGCTTTCCGTTTACCTCTGCCAGCACCGATCGTTGAGTAAGCATCTCACTGATATCTACATAAAGAAATGTATTGCAATGATACTAAAATCTAAAATAGAAACATTTTGAAAAATACATTTCATTGAAAAATATTTATACAAATTTTGTTTCAATAAAGTTAAATGACTTTGATGCACATTCTAAAATAATATTTAAGACCAACAAGAAGCCAGTTGCCCCACCTAGACTGTCCCGTTAACTAATTATTTTAAAAAAATTACACCTCAAGGCCAGCCCTAATCATTCAAATATTTATCAAGACTTCCTTTAAATTTACTGTTTCCACCATATCTGATGGCAACTCATTTCAAAACCAACTAACCTATTAAGAAAGTAAAACTGTCTTACCTGAAGCTGACTGCCAAAACTTTTGTGTCCCTTATTCCTTCCATTCTCACCATTAAATGTGAAAAAAGATGAAGCATCAACAATTTCCTTAACAGTCTTAAACATATCAATCGGATCCCCTCTAACTCTTCTTTTTTTCAAGAGAAAACAAGTTCAGAGATTTTTAAACTGTCCTCATATCACATCATTTCCCTCCTAGTAGCCCTTCTCTGAATCCTTTCCAATGATTCAGATGTCTTTCCTAAGGTTAGGAGCCCAAGACCTAACACAGTATTCCAAATGTGATCTAACCAGTGACTTGTACAATCAAATTATAACCTCTTTTGACTATTCACTATTTCTGTAGATACAACTTAACATCCTATTAATCCTACCATTAGCAACAAACACTACTTGGATCAACCAGATCATTAAGATATTTTTTTCCATACCACTGCTAAGGTTATTCCAATCAAAATTATATTCATAATTCAAATTGTGATATCCCACATGCAATACTTTGCACTTATTATAATTAAACGTCATCTACCATTTATTCACTCAACTCTCCATGTAATATAAATCCTTTTTTCAAGCAGCAGCTTCATCCTCACAGCCAGCAACACCCAAGACCATAATATCAGCAAATTTAAGTAATCTATTGATCTCCACTATGTCGTTGATATAAATCAAAAACAGAAAACTCTTAACACAAAGTAAAGGTTCTCGTGATGTTAATCCAGTTTAACTGAACTCCATATATAACAACCCTCTGCTTTCTTCCACCCAGTTACTATTCTATCCAATCAGGTATATCGTCCTCCACACCTATAGAAGTTATTATTTCTTATCAAACCTTTTATGAGGCATCTTTGAATGCTTTCTACAAATCTAGATATACCAAATCCTGTATCTATATAAGCAGTAGCCTCTTGAAAGAAGGTCAAAAGATTAGTAAAGCAAGATTTTTCCCAAGTGAAACCACGTTTACTATCCACCTATACTGCACAATTTTGTAAATGATTTTGTAACGCATCTTTTATCACACTTTCGGAAACCTTCCCCACCACTGATGTAAAACTAATAAGCCTATAATTACCAGGATAAACTTTATCAGCTCCCTTGGAAAAGATAAGTATCACTATTGCACGTGTCCCAGGAACATCCTAATTCAGGGGAGAAAATTACAAGCCTCTGTCCCTATCTTACGAGTCTTAATGAACTATTCAAAAAGACTTCTTGAAAATATTCTAACTTTGTCCTGGCATAAATACATGATGTGTGAGTGTCATAATAAAAAAAAAATATTTTCTTTCAAAGCCTAGATTTTGAACCAGTAAGTATGGAAAATTTCAAAGATGGCTAAATCTTTACTTTACAACTTTTTAACTTAGCATCCCATACTATTAAAATGGTGTATTATAAACTTACGTAAAGCACAGTTATAAGGAGTTGAAATGTTTCTATTCATCATCAAGGTACAATTTTCTGGTGTTCCTTCATGACGAACTTCTATCTTCTCAACTCTAGTGATAAGTGCTTGCTGTCGTTCCTTTTCTTTGTTAAATATTGCATTTCGTTTTTTTCGAACCTCTGAATTGGTAACTGTTCCAAGAGGTCTTGATAAAATAGAATATCCTATGTAAAACAAATTATAATGAGTTGAAGGTAATCAAACTGTATATCAAAATCTAATTCTAATTACAATTTACAGCATTTATCAATGTTCTTGAAATTCAGTTAAAAGAGCAGTTGTGAAACAGGTTTCAAACCAAACATAAGTCGTACTAAATATAAAACTGGCACTTGTGCAATATATGAATATATCCAGTTAAAAAGAGTACAATGCTAAAATAATTACACAAAAAATAATTTATTAAAACAGGAACCAGCACTAAAATGACTAAATGTTTCGGAGTTCTTATGCCACTATCTTCTGAAGCTGGTTGGCTCTTGTTTTAATAAATTATTTATTGTGTAATTATTTTGGCGTTGTACTTAGTGTACGTTACTGTCAACATTTTAAATACAGAAAGGTTAATAATATATTATATTGCTGTACAAATACAGAATTAGCGTGACGAGCTACACAAATCTTGGCAGTTCAGTTGAAGTTGTACTGTAGTCTACAGCGCCAAGTTCAGTCGTGTAACTACAAAAGATAGTCACCCCCGCATAAAAAGCAATTGGTCCAATACATTTATTTCCATACAATTGTAGTTACGAAGCTAGCTGATTTGGGGTCCACTTTTGGCTCTCCCCCAATGGGATTTACACCACTGAGTAGGTTATTAATATTATACTGTTCTCCTTATCCAAACCAAAACAATTTAAATACTCTTTTAATATAAAAATGCTAACCTCTTACCGGAAAAATATTTATAACTGAAAAATGAATGTACTGCTTTTAGTTTTGAAACCATTTTTAACTGTCAGTAAAGATAACAGATACAAAATAATGTTAAATGTATAAGCTTAATAGGCTATTGGTATTAGTATTAACCTAACTAAAAACTCGTAGGACTTAAAAGAACGCCATCTAACAAATGATTTCTCTTGATTTTCATATTTTGTGATTTGGAAGTACATACAATTTATTTCTAATATTGAAAACAAAATAACAATTGTGCGCTGCATTTTCGATTTTATTTATATTGTCTCATTCCCTGTTACATATGAAATACAGAACAGTGATTTACTAAACATAATTAGGCCATTCTAAATAAATCCTATCTTTAAATCACTTTAATATCAAACAAAAGTGTACACTTGAAAAAATACAAAAGAAAAACAGCTTTTAAAACTACATCGAAAATTAATACGGAAATTCGTGAAGGTTCTTAGTTTTACTCTCGACTTAAAAAAAAAATTCAGGAAACCTCAATCGATTCTTTTAAATGATATCAATCAAGCTGAAACTGGCAAGGTGTTAGAACGGAACTTAATGATCAGCCCCTCAGTGGCTCAGGGGCATGTGTGCGGACTTACATCACTAGAAATCGGGAAATGGTGGTCAGAGCACAGATAGCCCATTGTGTAGCTTTGTGCTTAACTTCAAAACAAACAAACAAGTTTTATCATCAACAATAAAATATGTAATACTAGACGAAAGGAAAGTTTCTTTTTCTTCAAAAGAGTGTCTCACAAAAAACATTTTAAAATTTTCATAGCATAAAAATTATAGAAATATTTATTAAAATGATTTTTAAAGCGAAACCAAATATTATTTAGTAACTTTGTTCGAAGATTCATGCAATTTAGTTCATTAAATTATACTTTCACTGTGAGAAGGGAACAAGTCAAGAAATACCAGTGACACCTCCTCCGACAGGGAAGAGTTAATATGAAAATATTTTCAGGAACAAAAGTAAAGTTTAAAAACCTATAGAACATTCAAAAATCTATGATATATTCCTAAGTCTTCTAAACTACCCAGTAGTCTTTGTTGTTTCTTTTCTGCAGGAGATAGGTCATTTCACTTTCCATGAAACCATAAATTACTTCTGAGTGATTTTCCGGCTCTTGTATTTACTTCAGAGTAGCCACAAGGTCCTACTAACTGGGAGCTTAAAGTTACAAACCTACGACACATGTTTCTTCCTAAACTCAAACCTAGATCATCATACAAAAAAGAGAGACAGGAAATAAATGCACAACACACCAGTGGTGGGCAGAGCACAGATAGCCCTTGTGTAGCTTTGAGCATAATTAAAATAAAACAATTATGTTTGCAAAATGTTGCACGAAAGGTGTTTCATTAAGTGTTCTGTTATTTGTATGGTGTAAACAAAGTAGCAGCGAAAGTATAAAATGTGCCCTAGACCATGCGTCTTTGTCCTAAGCCCCAAAAAAGTTAACGACGGCCCTGATCCATTCCATACAGTGAAGGCGGCTTATATAACACATTGTGAAGCTATGTACTTAAAAATCAAATATCTATGGCTATCATATGGCAATAGTTATAGATAAATTAACTGCATTAAAACCTACGTAACTAAATCTAAGTTACGCAATTGTGAGCATTTACACAACGTAAATTTGTAAGCTTTGAAACTTGCTCCATTGGCTAAAGTCCGAAACTTGTATAATTTATATTTTTGACCGATAGTAAGAGTTGAAAAATACATTTAACAACGAAACTTAATATCCGAATATTTATACTGTTCTCAAGTGAAATATATTGAAACATAATTCATGATCGTAAGTATTGCGATTATATTAACGTAATGTCACTTGGTTCATACGGCCAAATCCTATTCTACTTGAAGTTGATGTGTGTACGATTTTATCCCTGTTCTTTTTCATTATTACGACAGCAGTGCGAAAATGAAGTAATCTATCGATTCATTAATCTATCCAAAGGGAGTACACTGTAGAGAAAATATTAGAAGCTTTATTAGAATTGTTAGGCTTATGGTCGCAATGCTCGATAAAGCCAATAGGTGGCAGGTTTGTTTTTCAAGCACAAATCTTTTTTAAGAATATATAACTTGTGACTTTAAATTCTTTCTAGCTCATGAACAACGTTGATATTGTTTGATTCAAGATTATTTATTATGTAACAGTCTTTAAGTGTTTTTGTTTTTAATTTCTCAAAAACTTCCTTTTACATCTGCTGTTGGTTTGTGCATTAGTTTTTCTTAAATACTTGACAATATATCCCGTCTCCTACTGTATATCAAGAGTGAAGATATATTAGCCATTAGCTTTGCGCAGAGGCGATGTCGTAGCCAATGAGGTTTATCCGAGGCGCGACTATTGCTAGTTGAAAACTTTTCCCAATACCCCGCCGAGACGACGTGAAATATCGTCGGCTAAGGCAATTTTTGCAGGCCTCATTTGAGGCTAGTAGTCAAATAAAAATAGAAAATTGGTGTTTATTTTGGTTAGGAGTAACATGATTAGTGACACTCATAATTAATATTCAACGTTGAACTGGTACACAATTAAAAATATTTTATTTAGACCTATCTATAGCCTTCAAAAAGTTGACGACTCTACAAGTTTCCACGTTACAACGTCATCCTCAGGAGTGAATTACGAGACAATTGTCAAAGTATTTATAGCTTGTTAGTAGGTCATTGACCTGTATGTTATTTTTCATACATTCATGCTAAACCATTCAAAGGAGATC